CCCCCCCTCATCCCCCGGGTCTAACTTGTTAGGTGATCCGTGATGATTTTCCGAATATTGTAAAAAACTGCATAAAAAACCAAGAAGCATCGGATAAACACGCACACACACATACGCACACACACGCATTCACACACACACGTATATACGCATACGCACAAATAAATATACATATAGACACGTACACACATATACGCAAGCACACACAAGACAACCCCGTGACAATATGCGTTTTGTGCAGCATAAAACGCACAGAAAAAACCATATTTTACCGTAGGTTTCTGTTCCTCGAGTGCATCGAAAACACTCTCGTCCAGTGCCAGCTTAGATTGACAGTTGAAACAGATTGCTGCATTCTCATCCATTTTTTTTTTTTTTGGCGTACAGCTACTTCTCCCTGAACTAGCAGAAATGGCTTGCGATCGAGTCCGATATCCGCTGCACCCGGATGAACTAGATTTCTTGAAAAGAGCTCTTCCTAGATACTTAAGATCAAGCAAAAACAATCACAAAGTTGCTGAAGTGCGCATGTTGAAAAGTACAACTCCAGCTGTGATAATCTAGCTGTCGCGGGTCTGAGCCCTGCATCGGGCTCCATATCGCGACCTAACCTTTAGCTTATTAAGGCTAGTGTGTGTCCCGATTGTAGGAGTGTGCATGTGTACGCACGTCGCGTCCTATATACATATTTACTAATATATAGTTAAAGAGATAATGCATAAAAAGGTGGTGAGACTCTGGGGAGCCGAAGTTCCCCAGAACAGGAGTATAAGTTAAATAGAAGCAGGTCGCAGTGGTGGATGGGAATTGGCGGTCCCGGCGATGGGAAGAAGTGCTTTTATACCCCAGGGGACAAAGATCGAAAGTTCAATGAGGGTAAGATGGTCAAAGTTTGAACCAGGGACAGGGGTATTGCGTCATAGTAACGCAATTGTTCTTTAACCTACTTTTAACAAAAACCATTAATCATTATTTGATATATTATACGACAGAATCTGTGCAACCACGTGCCGATTCTGGGCCCGCAAAAAAAACCTCACGTAACCAGCAGAACCTCCCAGCGATCGGCATTAAAGTCAATACGCCCGCAAACGCCGATACAACCCACAAAGCACAGTAAGCAGATTGCAGCAACCAGGTTGACCCAGGAAGTCTAAGTGGTGGAAGTGTGACAAATTACAGTATGAAAGGTGGCAAGGGGTTCAGGTCCGAGTTGCGAAAATAGTGTTGGGGAGGGGGAGGGGGTGGGGGGTGGTATGAGTAAGATCCTAGGTAGTGCTTTCAAGTTTGCCGACTTCCCCCCTTCGCACCAGAGTTCAGGCTGAGTATAGGAGTACTTCCCCGTATAAACCCGTCGCTGTTTCTAATTAGAAAAAGCTACTGCTCTCAGCTTCTTTACGGTCAATAACGCTGTCCCCCCCCCCCTCTATTACGGCCTCCGAGACT